AGACGTGTGACCCATGTGTGTGTGCCCTGCGCTCAGACGTGTGACCCATGTGTGTGTGCCCTGCGCTCAGACGTGTGACCCATGTGTGTGTGCCCTGCGCTCAGACGTGTGATGTGTCCTGCGCTCAGACGTGTGACCAATGTGTGTGCCCTGTGATGAGTTAGCACTCCATCCTGGGTTGTTCCCTACACCTATACCTTCTGCGATGGGCTTCAGACACCTCATGACCCTGAATAGGATAAGTGCTTACAGAAAATGGATGAACCAAATGTTAAGTAAAGGGGAAAATAAAATCAGCACAGAAGAATAATCAAATGAATGACCCAAAAGACAAACTAGTATTACCGACAGTGGATGACTAAACAGGGCTTTAATCTCTAAACATGCTTGAAAAATCACCAAAAAATCCTGATGTTTTCTAATATAAAACAAAATTAGGGGTTGAGAAATAGCATTTTCAAATTTTCATTTTTAAGGACCACCCTAATGTACAGACACCTATTATGTGGACAGTGAGATAAACGGCATTGTGGGAAATGGGTAGGCCCGACTGTGTCCCCCCTCACACACACAACCTGGACACACGAACGGCCAGATACAGTCGGGAACACCATGTTTTCAAACGGGGTAATATTGCTCTCGTAGGCATGTTAACAGAGGTAAAGACAACGGTCAATATTTCCAATACCTTCAACACCATTGTGTAAACTTCCTTACACAAAAGTTAAATAAATTACCACCATTCATTGCATAAAAATCTGAATATTATATACAAGAAAAAGCTATAATTAAATCTACTCTATAAAGGGGGCTTAATGGAGATGTACATTTTATATGTAGAGTTTGTAAGCTCATGGCAGCAGTCTGTCCCTTTGCTTGGTTCCTCAGATTTTGTTCATTCTGAGGTTTATGAAACAAAACATCGGCCTCACGGAGTCGGCCTCACGGAGTCGGCCTCACGGAGTCGGCCTCACGGAGTCGGCCTCACGGAGTCGGCCTCACGGAGTCGGCCTCACGGAGTCGGCCTCAGGGCAGGGAGGCCAGACTACAGTATGAAGGTGTCCTCTCTTCTGCCTGAGGGTCCTCCCCATCTCCCTGGTGCCTTTTTATACGTCTACATTTCTGTCCCAGCTACACAGCCGACGTCACTGCATGGAAGAGGCCAGACAGAACCCAGAAGGTATGCAATGTTCACGCCATGCGTGGGCCACAGTGCGACGACAGATTTAGCAAAGAAAACCGTTTTAGCGAATTCTGGCGCCATCAGCCATGGAAAATGCTACTGAAATCATGACATATAACCCAAAAATCGCTAAAAGTGTCTTGAGACAAAATGTAAAGCAGAGACCCAAAATGATTCGGCTCTCCTGACATGTAACTACTGCTGGGTGAGAAACTTCTGGATGAATCTGTACAGACTGCCACCCTCCCCTGACCGTGTCCGTGATGCTTACACTGGCTGTTATCCTGCGAAGGCATGTGCACTAACACTGTCCATGTATACGTAACAGCCCTCCATGACCTGATGCAGCGTCTGACAGCATACTTACACGCACCTCATAGTAATATCAGGCCTCTGCCCACAGGTGCATGGGGCCGGCTAAGTCTGGTCACACCAGAGGAGGAGCACTGCCTTAGGGATGCTGTGTCATGTGATGAGGAGGTGGAGCTCAGTCACTGTCCCACTGGCTTTCACCATACACAGGGCAACAGCTTAACCCATGTTTCAATAAGTTGTAAATAGTGTAAAAATTAAAGCATCTCTCGTTCTCCTTACATTTTCATGAGTGCAGGCCCCCCCTTTTCTAGATAGGAACATTATTGAGCCCCCCCCCCCCCCATCACCAACAAAATTATCTAACTGACAACAGCTTTGTAAACAAATGCACACTGAAGAAATGACCATGTGGTATGTCTCCCATAAATTACACCCCATAAACATTCGAAACTGCGAATCAGCGTTTGCCTTAAAAGCTTCCTCAACCATCTGCAGAACATCTCAGCCCTGCAGAGTCCAGCCTGTGTGCCTGCGGAACCAAAGCATAGCCTGGGTGACGGAACCCCACAGAGGGCTCTCTCGCAGGACAGGCAGTCCGGGTCCAGGCAGAACCTCACTTCAGTCCCACAGATCGGACGGTAAATTCCCAGTGCAAACAGCGGCCATCTGGAGAGGTTTCCGGCAGGAGTCATCTTTGTAACATACGTAACCTTAGAGCGATTTTTATAAATAAAAATAGAAATAAAAACTGAGGCGTGATTATGCATCGACAGCTTAATGCCGGCAATACTGAACACTGTCACACAGGAAGGCCCCTCCCCTCTCTACTGCTCTGGGGGCCTGTGATTGGCCGGCAGACGTGTCTGTCGGCATCACGTACTCCTTCCTGCAGACATTGTGCATTCTGGGTCCTCCACTGCAGCCAGCACCCATCATGCGTCCGACAGACAGCTCTGCACATTGTCCATCCACAGCTGTGCATTCAGGCTGTCCTGGGCACAGAAGTTGTACACCCTTTTGGTGGTCTTTAGCTGTTGTGGGGTAAATACGGGGCAGCGTTAGCAGATTAATAACCAGGAGCAATACAGTCTGGGTGGGAGACGTACTTACATCAAAGAAGGCTTTCTCATCAATGTTTTTGGGGGCCCCCATGGTTGGCGTCCCTGGCACCATGGACTCCACCTCCGCCAGGTCTATCACACCCTTGCACTCCCTGTCCTGTCGATTATCATAGTACCGCAGCTGGGGGGCGAGGGCATTTCAGTCAGAGAGGAGGGAGGTCTCAGTCAAGCCATGCAGCCTGATACCTGCTAAACACCCGCTGAAGACGCTACGCACCTGGTGCTTCGTCTTGTCAAGCACAAACCAGCGTGGTCTCCATGGCTTCAGCAGAGCCCCCTTCTTATACAGGATGCCCTCAAACGACCTGGACAGGAAACAAACTGTAGCCTCAATTCTTTCTGTGTATGTGTGTGTGTTTGTGTGTGTGAGAGCGAGAGAGAAAGACAGAGAGACATGGCTGGGCTAGGCCACAGATCAAGTGTGTGTGAGAGAGACACAGCTGGGCTAGGCCACAGAACCTGGGCAGCAGGTGCTCACCTGTTCTCACTCTCTGTGCTCTGGAACTGGCTGTACAGTGTGCTGGTGCTGGGCCGGCTGCCAAGGTTTCCCGCGGAGGAGGAGCCAACGCCGCCTTCTGCCTCCAGAGCCAGGTTGATGCTGGAGCCCATCATGCTGTCATGGAGACACGCCCCCTGGGCCCGCCGCTGGTGGCTGATGTTGGAGGACATGAGCAGTGATCTAGAGGAGGCCTGTGGAACATGGAAGAACATAGACACATGTGTGAGGCTATCCATCCATCCATCCATCTGCTAACTGGTTCAGAGTCACGGGGAGAGTCTATCCCAGGCAGAACAGGCTTGGAGGTGCAAGATGCTGTTCTGCCCAAATGGAAGCCAACATCTCACAATAAAAGTTATACACTTGGATGAGCCCATTTTTACATGCTTTTCAAATGTGAATCTCAATATCACCCTGACCAATGAAAGTCTCTCAATATCACCCTGACCAATGACAGTCTCTCAATATCACCCTGACCAATGACAGTCTCTCAATATCACCCTGACCAATGACAGATGCTCAATATCACCCTGACCAATGACAGATGCTCAATATCACCCTGACCAATGACAGACGCTCAATATCACCCTGCTCAATGACAGACGCTCAATATCACCATGACCAATGACAGACGCTCAATATCACCATGACCAATGACAGACGCTCAATATCACCCTGACCAATGACAGACATTCAATATCACCCTGACCAATGACAGACATTNTCAATATCACCCTGACCAATGACAGACATTCAATATCACCCTGACCAATGACAGACATTGAATATCATCCGGACCAATAACAGACACTCAGTATCATACTACTAAATACAGAACAGCACAATCTAAATCTGTGCTTCTCTTAAAATGTAGCCAAAAGGAAGTATGTTATGAATGTAATATTATTTTATGATACTGTAATATGATAAAGTGCACTGACATGGGGCAGTGAAACGCATCCAGACATCATCATAACATTGTTTTATTATATATCAATGTGATGTGTCATTACAGTAATAGGCTTCATAGGTTTTGGAAGATTTTTTTTCTGCTGCTGTCATCCTCCTTATCAGTGTATGTTTCACTGTTACACACACACACAGATTAGGTATCTATATCTTTGTGGGGACTCTCCATTTCTATGGGTATAACCTTAATACCAATACTGACAACCTTAACCCTACCCAGTCCAAACCTTAACCATAAGTAACCAAACAAAATACAAGACTCTTGGCATTTTTAGTTATTTGATTGAAGTCACTGATTCTTATAAAATTGAGTTTCCTCCTGTGGGGCCCAAAAAACAGTCCCCACAGTGTTAAAATAACAGGTTTTTGTCACATTGTGGGGACATTTGGTCCTCACAATGTAATATATACATGAGAGACACACACAAACACACAGGATTCTTTCTGGGTAAAAGCCTGTTGATGTCTCACTCTTCTTGAGAGCCTTCAAAGAGAGCAGCACAGCGTGATCTCTGTGCTACGTGGCGGTTGGCCAGCGGCCGCCTCACCCTGCTCTCCAGCCTGCTCTCTGCACGCTGCGTGGACTTGATCTTATCCCAGGTGTCCTTCCACTTCTCTGGGACCTTTCCCAGCTCCATCTCAAGGGACTGCAGCTCCTAGTGGATGCAGAGAAGCATACAGCTGAATGACTCTGGCCAGATATATCCGGCTCCAGGGCGTTATTTATCATGGCAGTCTGTGCCACGGAGTGAGACGCCCCTTGGGGAGCCATGAACACTGATGCCCTGGCGGAGACGGAAGGTGGGCTGGTGGGCAGACCTGTAAGAGTTTGGTAATAGCGTCTGGCAGCACCCTGCTGTGGCAGTCATAGCAGGGCCACACTACCCGGCGCCGGGACACGCACACCGCCTTCTCTGGCCTCTCAGCGTCCGGCTGCTGCTCCGGCCGGCTCTGCACCAGCTCCCAGTCATAAGAAGGGCCCTCCGACAGGGTCTCCTCCGTGTAGAAGTCCCACAGTTTCAGATTGGAGATGCAGCTGTACGGCTTTAGCACCTGGACACAGAGCACAGAGGTGCTGGCTGAAAATGACCTCATGCTGGTGCAGTATCATACGTTCATCAGTAGGGGGCAGCAACAGTCCACAGCAGCATAGCCAACACGCCTCACCTCTCCATCCTCAGGGGCAAACATGTAGTTGAAGAAGATGGGGGTCTTCTTATTGAGTCGCTCGATATAATCCCAGACTGATTTGAAAGTCTGAGGTCCTCTCTTTTCACCCTTTTCTTCAAACATCACACCTGAAAGCAGAGAGAACACCTCTGAAGAAACCAGCATCGCCATGCAGATATCCTGGCCAATGAGCACACAGCACCCATGTCCCTATAGGACAGTGCTACCCCATGTGATTCCAGACAGGGCAGATATATGGGGCACCGGAGAGAAGGTCCGGTCACGGGATTCTCACCCAGCTCTATTCTCTCATAGTCTGAGTCCAGCAGAAAGGTCCGGAAGCGGTTGGAAACGTAGTGATAGGCCAGGAACTTCAGGTAGTACTGACTGAACTCGAACTCCATGGGAAACTGAAGATGGATCTGTTGCAGGACAGAAGACCATGAGTTAGCATGACAGAACACACAGAGCACGTTAGAGCACACCATGACGGAGCACGTCAGAGCGCACCATGACGGAGCACGTCAGAGCGCACCATGACGGAGCACGTCAGAGAGCACTATGATGTGTCAGGGCATAAGGCCCCTTCAGCCCCCAGACAGGATCATTACTGGTCCCTTCAGACTCAGCCATCTTACTTATTAAAATACAGTTCACAAGTCATGCTTCCTCTGTTGTCAGCCAAATAGACGTCTTGGCTAATCCTGGCCCTGTTCCTCAGTTAGTGTCACATTCTTTCACGCTGTCAAACATTAACAGGCTCTCATGACTTAAAACGACAGCAGCAGTGAGAAGCCGGAACACCTGCCTCCAGATGCCAGGAACATCGCTCTAATTGTTCTTCGTTCTGATATGACCTGTTGACAGTTAGCGTTGCTTTTTATAATAATCACTCTCTCTTACTTTAAAAGGGGTCTCGTATATCGAAACACTCAGCTGATAAGAGATGGCCAATGTCCCATCCGACGGCAAAGTCCACCAGTACGAAAACACGGTGAATTAGTCATTAGCGGAGTTGGTGAATGCTTGTTAGAGAGACCGAGGCAGTGGGACAGGCTCACCTGGTGGACGCAGTCCAGGAACTGCAGGAAGACGGGCGTGAAGCCGCCACTCTGGCCGGCCAGCGTCTGCGCCCCGCGTTGGCTGAATCGGTGGCCAAATGACAGCCACTCCTTCTCCACCAGCAACCTGAAGCCGTCGAAGGTGCGGTAGTACGGGTCCGACAGGAGCTGGACCAGCGACACCACCTGCGAGGGGAGGCCAGCGAGCAGCCCAGCTTTCACCGCATATACATCCATGAACACCAGCGTCCAACAAGAGCCTGTCCAAACTGGAAGCCCACCTGTGTGGTGATGTCCCAGCCGTCCTCCAGGCTGACCATGACGGAGGAGCCTGTGTCCAGCAGCTCCACCACCAGCACAGACACCTGCAGGATCTTGTGAAGCTGTAGGATGGAGACAAACAAGACAAAATGAGTAACCCTGACAACATGGTTTCTCCTAGAAACCTTTAGCAGGGGCGGGGGGGGCTTTACCAAGCACATCCACTCGGACTCCTCGAGGCACCGGTAGTAGGCCGTATTGGGGTCGAAGGACACGCTGTTGGGCACACAGGCCTTCATCAGCTTCTTAAAGCTGGTTTTCACCTGCCGCACGTCAAACACCTCGATGGGAACCACCTCCCACTGCTGGAACTGGTCCTGCTTGGAGCCCTGAGGGTGCAGATGAGGGAGATAGCTGGAGTGGAGCGTACATCACTCACTATGCCATGTCCAGCACAGTCTACACAAGCCAGCAGAAATGAGCAAACACGGGGTCTAATCAGACCTTCTCAGTCAGCTCATTAAGTCCCATTCCAGAGGCAGCAACCCTATGAGTCAGTCTGTTAATGTGGAGCGTGCAGAGAGGCGTCACTAAACCCAGCGGCCATTACCTTCAGCTGAGACTTGTCTCCAATGATGTAGAGGTAGGACCTCTGGGGGTGCAGAAAGTGGGTGTCGGCAGGGCTGCCATTGGCCTGGGGAGGGTCCCTCCCTGCCAGCTGGGCAATCTGCCCCGTGCCCCGGATGCTGCCCCATTTTCCTGTGGTGGACACGCATGCACGCGCACACACACACACACACACACACACACACACACACACAGAGGAAGAAACAAGGAGGAGAGCTTAACAGAGATGAAGGTTCAGTGCTGCAGAGTGAGAGAGCCAGACTCTCTGCCACTTGTGTGTGAAAACAGGACGTTCAGTTCTAGATAAGCCTTTGATTATATGAGAAAGTGTAAACCAGCAGAGGCAGGCTGATACCACGGCAAGCACCACATGGTTCCTCCTAGTGTCACCTGAGAGAACTGGCCACTAAGCAATAGGCATGCATAACCCCCCTTTGGAACATTCAGTCAACATTAAACAGACATCAGGTTAGTCCAGGGATGCCAGCCAATGGACAGCATGGAAGCAGACATGCTGTTAGGCGCCGCAGGAGTTACATTCTCTGACCGGTTTATTTACTATACCTCGGGCAGAGTTCTGGCTGATCTCCGAAGCTCTAGGATGATAGTAAGAGATGATCTTTGCTCTTTTACCTGCTCCCAAGGTTACACAGGGCAAAGAGGTCTGTCAACTCAATCACGTGAAGATGGAGTCCCACCCCCCACCCCAACTGCCATGTGTGACCTCCCACATCATCCCGAAATTTCACGCTTCCTTTACATATTATCTGGTGGCATCAAATCAATGGCGACCATACAGACATGGCTCTGGAATGTCCTGCCTGGGCCTTTGGGCTTCCCGGAGGTATGTTCCTAGGCTGTGATGATAAAGTCCAGCCATCTCACTGCTGCCCCACCCCTTCCTCTTTCACCGTCACGCTTTTGAGGCATTCTCCCAATGCAAGTCCTTCCATAACATGCCCAGTGTAATATGACTTCCACCTGGTCAATGGTGAAACTTCAATTTTGAGTTGATCAAGAACCTTCCTTGAGGTCAATGCTCTTACTGTCCTGCTCCTCCCTGCCCAGCTCTCTCACCCACACAGAGCCAGAGGGGGGGGGCGCATTCTCAACTATTCCTGCCTCTCTTCTCTACTTTTGCAGACTGCTTCCAGCTCCTTCACCGCAGCTCTGCCAAGCACCAGACTCTGATGTGTCTGACTGTTGGATCCTTTGTTGCTGTTCATCATTCCAAGGAGCTGATAGCTGTCTAACACCCCTCTGTCTTCAAGACTGTGCTCATGCTTACTGGTGTTTCTTAGCTTTAGCTGCTGCTGACCAGTGGGCTGAACAGCCATCAGTGAGGTGTGCTGCGGTCCAGCGTGGCTCTCTCACCTCCCTTGCCGAAGCCACTGGGCACGTCCTCCCTGCTTCCCATCACCTGCTTCATCAGGGCCCCAATCTTAGGCTGCCTCAGCTTGTCGGAGGCGTCTGGAGCCGGTAGAAGCACAGGGACATTTTACTGAACACGCTTCCTTCCATTGCTCTGTCTGGGGCCACATGTCCAGAGCACGCAGACAAAGAGACGCCTTATTATCACGTGATTTTGTGACAATTACATATGGCCGATTTACACAAAAACCAATTCAACATGAGGGTAAAACATTCAGCAGATTAACAGAGAAAGCCTGTGCTGTTTTAGACTAGCTCTGCTACAGGCTCCAGGATTCCCAGGGGCAGCTGGCCATCTGAGGGCAGACTAACTGGGAGAACGTTAAGCTGGAAAGACACTCGCAACTCAGCGAACCAACCAAGAGAGCACAATGCTAAGCGCTAACACGACCTCACCAGCTGAGACACAAAATACATATGATGCATATTTTAAATGCTAACAGGCTCAGGATCCAATCAGCTGAGATGCATAGTAAAATCAAAAGGGGAACCTAAAACATAAGGCAGGAAGAGCACAGTCCTGCAGCTGTAAGGAGATCTGACCCAACAGAAGCCACAATAAATATTTCACAGAGACTAACCGCCAGAACTCACCGGAGCTGCTGGTGGCGGCCGGGGTGAAGCTGCTCAGCGTGTTCCTGCCGCTGCTCTCCGAATACGAGGGCATGGACGAGACTATGGCCTGCAGGTACTTCTCCTGTTCCAGGCTGATGGAGTCCGTCTGTGAGGGGCCTGCTGGGTAGGGTCAACAGTGAATGCGTAGGACAGCCCTGTTCCAGGGAGGTATCTCCTGGCATACACCGTCACACGCAGCTTACCGGCACTCGGTGCGTTGGGGGTCTTGAAGAAGTCGGCCACCCCTTTAGCGTGGAGGCCGCCTGAGCGTAGGAGCACAGCCTTGGAGCGGGAGTTCCTCCAGCAGACCACAGGGAAGCGGTTCTGTTTGTAGCAGCGTGAAATCCGCTGGATGGTGGCGTCCGTGATGCTCTGGGGTACGATCAGCAGCCCCGGATAGCTGTGGAGAGAGGGATGATTTGGGAAGGATTTGCCCCTACGCTATGAACATCTGAAACACCAACGCAGTGCTCACCTCCTGCACACGGTGTACATGCGGTTCACCGTGGAGATGCGGAAGGGTTCATTCTTGGAGCGGGTCAGGCTGCTACTGAGCGTGCCCAGACCAAGCCGCTGGTAGTCACGGCAACAGGCCCGCTCAACCACGTTGCTCATGGTCTGCCGGTCCACTGGCTTCATGGTGGAGGAAAGGGTGTGAGGGTTCTGGTCCAGCTCCTCAGAAACTGAAAAGAGTCAAGAGTCAATAAAACTCAACATCCTGTGAGACTCATGTGCTAGAACAGATCATCTCTATACCTGAGATCTCATCTTCTTCCAACTGCGACTGGAAGCTGCTACGTTGCTCCCAGGTGGGAGGCGTGTACTTCTTCCGAGTCACATACTGCCGCCCAATGGTCTTCTTGGCAGTTTTCATCAGGTTCTTGGACAGAGCTCTGTGGGAACCAGGCAGACGTTGTGATACAGCTCCGTGCCCCAAGCCCCGCTGATTGGGGCTAACACAACGCAAACTGCCTGATCTGTGTTATTGTCATGCAGAAAGAAGAGAACATGCCCTCCATCAAAGCTGGAAGGCAGAGAAGACCAGCAGATCCAGAGAGGAGTTGTCGTGACTCAGTACTTCTATCCGCTTCCACACCTTCGCAATCACAGAATATCACCAGGAGAACCCAAGCACACGGCCATTCGCCCGTTGGCCTATCGCCGCCCCCTGTTGGGCTCACTGGCAGACAGAGGGTGTCCTGATCAGAAAGTGTGACAGGCATGCAGAGAGGAATCACAGGCCATGTGATGCAGTTTGAAACAGGCTCTAGCACTGGCAAAGGTCAACACAGCTAATGAGGACCAAGAACCCTGGCTGCCTTCTCAGTGGTCAACTGGATGCAGTATGCTCTTCAGGTACTCAATGAATCAGCCACTCACTGCCAAAGACTGCAGAGGGCAGGTTTACATCAATATAGGCCAAAAATCATTTCTCTAATAAGTTGTTGTTTGCATTGTCGTACTGGTTTACAAGACTAGAGTACAAAGAGATCTTCCATTTATGAGGCTGCGCGACCATGGGTCTGTTTCAAGGTTACAAGGTCCAGGATGTAATGGTCTGAGAGAAACGCCTGCCAGTGCTAGGACGCCATTCATAGCTGGGACAGGTCCGAGAGGGACAGTGTCTGTCCAGCGGCTCTTACGCGGTCGAGTGGCCCACACGGCCCAGGGTGTGACCCAGCTTGAAGCCCTGTAGAAACTCGCTTGTCTGCCAAGAGCTAAGGCAGAAACAGAAGGTGAGGGTTGACGATGACACTCCCAGGCCTGCCTGAGCAATTACTACAATAGCTCATGGAGGTACACAGTAAAGGTATGTAGACTAAGAGTTCCAAGAGATCAGATCAATGATTGCACCAAGCACAGATGATGACATATGAGTGGATGACATATGAGCCTTGACTTGGACCATCTGCAGCTCTGGTAGCTCTTACTTAAACGTCTGGTTCTTCTCCTTGCTCTTCTGCTCCACCACCATTCCGCCAGCCTGGCCCACGGTGAAGGCGAAGGTGCCGCGGACATTCTGTGGGTAGCGGAGCTTGTGCAAATGCTTCCGGAAGACTTCCGCCAGGTCCGAGGCCACCTCCTCATCAAAGGCAATCTTCATCAGCTGAGTCAGGAAGAAGAGGGAGGTTCAGGAAGAAGGTAGGCGGCAGGCTTTCGATTAACAAAAGAACTTAAGTTGACTTTTACATTAAACTCCTACGTAAACCAGCAGGGACAGAGGATGTTCAAAGCTAAAGTGGTCATGGACTTCTGGAGTGCGGGTTGGTGTCAGACAGAAACGAGACGAGACTCTGCCTCACCTGAAAGGTGCAGGACCGCAGCTGCAGACCTTCTTGAATTAACTGATCCATTGAGATGCTGACGGCGATCTTCTTCTCCTTGGTGAGGGAGGCGACGGGGAAGGTACGGGTCACCACCTGCTCCCCCACTGGGGGTGAGGAAGGGGGCCCTGTTATTAGGGGGTTCTCTAATTTGCTACCCCTCCACAGCCTTCAGATGCCAAGCGGACACGGCACTCACCCAGGGGGTCCACTGGGGTGCCCGTGAAAATGAGCCGGTAGCTGGTGAGGAAGATGGCCCCTTCGGCCGGCAGTAAGGGCGGCCCCCCCATGGCGCTGGTAGCCTCCTCCCGCCCGTCGGGCAGTAGGTACACCCTCATGGCCTCCATCACCAGCTCCTCACCAGTCAGCAGAGTGGGGCTCAGCAGCTTGGGCTGGGGGGGTGACAGAGAGAGCCCCGTCACTGACCGAAGCTGCACCATCAACACATCCACCAGACATTTTACTAACAAGCAGAAACACAGCAAATCTCACAACCGCTGGTAAAATACAACAGGACTAAGATGATCATCCTCATGTAAAATAACCCTAACCTTTAAAATCATTTTAATTATTAATTATTATGTTTGGGTTTATTTATATATAAAAAATGGAAACACAAGACATATGTCAACCTTAAAGGTAAATCAGTGCCTCTTAAAAAAACATTATAATCCCCCCCCGTTAAGCGAAATCAACGGTCTGTTTACTGCGAGCTTATTTTGATGAGGCTTCTAAAAAAACCAGGGCATTTAAGCAGAGCAGTAAACACACAAAAACGAAGGACTTCCACGTAATGGCAGGATCAGTGGGCGGTGATTAGAGGAAAATGCTATAACAAGCTATGGTGCTACAGCCCCCAAACACACATACACATAGATACATTAACGCCGTCACCCTAGTGACAAAGACCGCTTCATTCATAATTTCAAGGATGACGTTCAGGCTGCACACAGAATAAAATCTGATCCCATGTTTAAACAGTCCATAAATTATGCAACAATGTAAGAAACGGCTTTCCCCTGTGAGCCAGAGCACTGGCCAAGGTAACTTTTCCTGTTGGAAACACTCCAACAACAGGTGTTCTGTCAATGCATGATGGGTTGGGGGTAGGGGTGTCTCTAACTGACGTTTACCAGCTTTACCCATCCTTTACCCCTGCTAGACCACAGTAGTCAGACACTGGTTACCTTCTGAATTGGGGGAAGCCTTTTACTCTCCCTGTTGACCGCGTCCAGGGTCTCTATATGCATCTGAACAATGTCTAGGGGGAAAACAAGGCAGACCATAATGAGAATTACAAACAAGTAAGTGGTATCCTGGTGTCCCGGTCTGGAGCGGCGAGCTGGGGGGGTGGGCCTACCCGGGATCATGATGTGCAGAGACTTCAGATGCTCATTGGTGACCCCGCTCTCGGTGCACACCTTGTCCACGAAGCGAGTGATGAAGCGCACGACCACGTTGGCCACGTCCGAGCCCTCTGCGTCCTCGAAGCCACTCTCCGTGTCGTAGCTCTCGCCCATGCTGCCAGCGATGCTGCACGATGGCCCAAGGGGATTGGTCAGGCTGGCTTTTCAAGAGGGACGCTCTGATCGCATCACAACCGTGTCCCCCACCGCCCGGCCCAGTCCCCTGACCTGGCAATGGCGTACCTGTTGGTTACATAGCTGTTGGTGACGCTCTCTGCATCGCCCAGCCCAGAGCCGCGCAGCAGGCGGTTCTTGCTGGTGTCCAGGGGCAGCAGGAGGTAGCTCATGCGGTTGGCGTAGTGGATGGCCTGGCTGAACACAGTGCTCTCTTCCTTCTGCACCAGCTCTTGCTGCTTCTCCTTGCTGAAGGTGGGCCAGAGCCTCCGCTGCTCCGAGGCGATCTCCAGGGCCCCACGCTCCTCTTCAGAACCCTCACTCGGCTCCTGAGGGGTAGGGGTTTGCCATTAAGGGCAGCCACAGAACCCAAATGGCATTCATATTTTACAGAACTGCAGTTCATTTCACCAGATCATTCCTACCGGACCAGGCAGCTCGTTCTCCTTGAAGTCAAGGTAGAGGGTCCGGATGTGGTTCTGGACGTCACTGTAGAACATGGCCTCCCAGAACTGCATGTTGGCCCACACCGCATGCTCCTGGACGCAGCAGTAGGCAAACTGCGTGGTGCCTGATCCCAGTTTCTGAAGATTGCAAAGGAGAAAAAAACCAGACATGAAGCATCCATTCAAGAGCAGGATGTGAGCATCACTCAACGCTTAGGCGATGCTTCTCCAGATGTTTCAGCAAACCCACCCTGCAGAAGGCTGTGACCAGCGGGAGGAGGGCAGCTGCTATTTCGTGCTCGTCCATGTTTGAGCAGTCCTGGGGAACAGAGACGTTAATTAAGAGATGAGGAGGGAATCAACAGTCTGGAGATCAACAGTGTTCAGCAGAGCTCAGGTTCTGCCCTGAAACAGTGCTGAGCCACATTACGCTCTTTTACATGTATAGCAGGTTCAACCTTCCCAGCAACATCCCAACAGCAGCAGCTGGTTTAGTGATTAAACCCAAACCTCATGAGTCTGTGACCCCAACACACCTGCAGAGTACAGTTCATCATCCGGACCACATAGTCGAACTGCTGGTCATCCAGCACGGCCCGGTTCTGCAGCACGTGCTGGTTCAGCTCTTGGGTCATGCAAAGCCGGGCTGCGCGACTCTTTAGGGCTCTCATGACGGCCGGCATCAGCTGAAGGGGGGACAGGGGAAAGACAACTGAGATTATCACATGCTGTCCCTCAACAGCAAGCTAAACATCATTGGTTCCTGTTCTGTTGACCGAGAACAGCTGCTGGGATCTACCCAGCTGGGAACAGCAGAATGCAGTTCCAGATAATCACACAAAGGGTGTCACCATGACGGTTCCTGTCGCTTGGCCCTGAGGATCTCACCTTCTTGGCCTCCAGCAACTTATTTTCAAAAATGTAGGCGATGCAGTTCCTGACCACCTCTAGCCTCCTGGCGCTGTTAGCGAGCACGCTCCCGTTCTTCTCCGTGGCGTCACCTGGAAACACCACAGCCACCGTTATGTTCTCAGCCAAAGGGACATCCAGGCCCGTGGTGTTACCAAACACGGGAAGGCCTAAGTTCCAAGTGCCTAGAACCCAGTGAAACTATCTCACACTGAACAGACCTCCATGGAACAAAAGTGCAACGGCCACATCCAACATCACTATGACACAGAAAACCGCAGCCCCCACCCGACCCCCGATTCCCGACCCCCAGCCACAGGTTCCCACCCGGAGAAGGTCCGGAGGGCACCATGCACTTCATCTCGGCCTTGACGATGGGCGGGGCGGCCTTCAGCTTGGCGGTGGCGTGGTCAATGAAGAGCTGCACCGCGACCTCGTCCAGGTGAGGGAAGGCGGAGGGCTGGGATTGGGGGGGCACCGGGGTGCCCTCGCTCTGCCGCTGGCTCCTGCGCATGGCCACAGCCGGGTACGGGTTCTCCTGAAAAGGTGGGTAATGGAGGCTTTAGACCACGCCACGCTCTCCCGAACAGAGGAAGTGCCCGTCTCCCACCAAGAAGATGCCTTTTTAAACCCCCCTAACAGTTGCCAATGTGACAGCTCAGCATACATGCTGCAGGACCCTACTGCAAACAATGCAGAAGCAGAAATGGCTTCAGACTGAAGCATCTAAGAGGAGAATGAGTGGATCATCACGCCAAACGTGCCACTATCCAGCCTGTGACGTAGCTGGGAGACGTGTCTGCGAGGGGAGAAGCGTCAGTGACATTATAAACACGGCCAGAGCCCGACTGCCTGCCAGACCAAGCAGCCTGTAAACAGCAGGCCCACCACTCCTGACCTTTCCCCACGCAGACCCGTAAACCACGCTCGCGGCCCGGTCCGGGCTGAGGCCACAGAATTTCACAGGCTAACCAGAAGAGAGAAATGGGACTTTTATAAGAGCTCTGAGTGGAGAGACCCTCGTCCACCACCGCTGAGTTTTATTAGACGTGGTCAGGATGGCAGGCGATAAAAGTCACACATCCTGAGACGCCAGGAACCCGACACTATGGGGTGGGGTGAGGGGGTCAGGCTGGGCAACGGGGTGGGTGCTGCGTCGGGGGGCACGTACGTTTTTGAAGAGCTTCTCAGTCAGCTCCTTGATGTGGGCCGTCAGTTGGCGAGGACTGCCTCCCTTCAGACAGAAGCGCTCTGCATGGTTACGGAGCAGCTGCAGGAGACGGTGGGCAGGATTACCGCTTCGTAAACCGCTAAAGTGGCGCTTAGCCGTTACACAAAGGATTAACAACACATTTATCGGCATTTTTAACATTGTGCGATAAAACATTGCCTTTCACCACACCACACCCATCCCCCAAGTCGCTCACCCCCCACCTCGTCAAAAATATCGATGGGCCGGTAAGGAGACCCCCTCTCGGACACAAAGCCAGCAAAGGCCATGCCATCCAGGACCTTCATCAGGAAGTCATCCTCCACGAGGGAGCGCTTGCCCAGGAAGGCGGCCTGGAGGAGATGGGTGCTCTGTCAGTAGCACAACAAGCATCTGCTGGGGAACAGGCGGAACCTCGGCCCTCAGCAGGAATTCCCCACACCCCTTAGCTGAATCAGAGCGGAAATACCCCCGCTCATTTGTGACCAATTTCTGATTTATGAGCAAAGAATAAAAAAAAAAAAAGCAAAAAAATATACCACAAGTCCCAGCAGGCTCAGAAGGGACACGACCTTGCTCCAGGGACGGTACCTTGTGGAAGCGGATGATGGGTTCTGGGTTGATCCGGATGATGTGCAGGCACCAGCGGTACCCATGGAGGAGCTGAGTGAAGAGCCACAGGAAGACAGCGCGGATCTCCTTATCCTGTGGGGGGAGACGCAGGAAGTGGGAGTTCAGGCAGCGTAAGGAGAGCTCAGCCATCGCAGCTAGCATGACAAGGGTGGGGGGGCTTGTACAGGCAGGGGGCATAGAGCAAGAGGAGGGGGGGGGTCGAGGCCCAACCTGGATCTTTAGGGCGGAGGGCTGCAAGGAGGCTGGAGGGAATGCGTGGTCCGCCACCTCCAGCTCGGGATCCAGCACCTGAAATGGACCAGCTGTTAGAGACAGGATGGCAGGCCGGGCGGGGTGAGGCTCATGATCACCACCAGGGTGCGCTGCTGAGACGTGACTCCCGCTGAGCCACCATCTGAGATGCAGGGAACCCTGCATCCAGACTATTAACCAAACAAAGAGCACGTGCGATAAGAGTCCGCTAATCGGCAGCCCAGGCATGGACAAGTGGGTCACACACCCCACTCTTATGTAAGAGTTCCACACACAGCTGGACGAGCTCGGTACTCGCCAGGACTCCAGAATGGCTGCGGGAAAGAGGCTTAATCACAGCAGCTCAGCAAAATACACCACGGCTCAGGCTGATGGGGACAGCTTCAGGAGGAGAGTTTAATCACCACGTGTCCTCAGTCATGCCCTGTAACATCTCTGCAACAATTACTGCAATTATGGAAACACTTCCTCCTGGCAAAAGCACACGGAAAACAAACCTTTGCTCCACGTGACTAAGACGGCTTTTCAGGAGAAGGAAACGGCTGCATCATCATTAAACCGAGGCCTGACTAATAGTGAGATCGCAAAACTGTCACCACCTGCCTCGGACATCAAACCATGACCGGTAAGATGAAGATCGCCAGGTTTCAAAGTGAACAACCCCATCCTTAAAGTTTCTGCAATTTCGCAGTCATTGCCTTAGTCTGGATGGCCAATCAAAAGGCTCCAAGTCGCACGTCTCGCCATGTTACCCACAATGCACTGGTGGCCCGATAAGCTCCTGTCTAATCCAAACAGGCATGCTCCGTGTTTAGGCTGAGTGTTTCAATGTCACGCACTAAAACCTCTCCGTCGTCCTTTGTCTCCCTATCACTGCATTTATTTGGGGTAAGTCCATCTCATCTGCAACCCACAGGATAAGATATGGTTGGGGGGGGGGGGGGTGGGCATGTCCCCAAAGGCCCTTAAGGGTCACAGCGGCTGAGCAGCAGAATTTTATGGGAAGTTTTTTGCAATGTAGGATTTTCGCAACACATCGTTTAGTCTGTCAAGCCAAAAAAAAATAACACTTCTTGTGACCAGGAATTCTTGCTCACATGTAGACGTTTATGGGCTGTAACAGACTGCCCTTTTAACACACAGACCATGCCCTCAAAGAAAAGCAATTACTGCTCATGACTCCAGCCTGACATATACGGGATATTTAAAGGAAGTTATTGCCTTAAAAACAACATGGTTTCCCAGATCGGTTAATCTTATTGCTTATGTCACTATGACTAATATTTCTTTCATATCTCTTCATGGCAGCTGGGGGCGCAGTGGTCAAGGACTTCAGCCCCTAGCAGGACCGGTCTCATTGGATTAAGCCTCCCTGGTCAGGTTGAATCACAGCGCTCAGCCCTAATACTCCCTACAGTGTGCTGATGGGAATCGCACAAAAACAGCAGCAGCATTCTGCCAGCTAATCCTGAACTCCTACAGCGGAGGAGGACGTGAGAGAGGGGAGCGGCGGTTACCATGGAGAGTGCAGCCTGAGTCTGGTGCAGGAGGGGGTCGGGAAGCTGTGAAATGTGGACACACTCCGGGATGGTCACCGTGCCGCCGTCCAGGTCGGCGATGATAACATCCAGCTGGGGATGGACAAGCAGAGACACACTGAGAGTCGGCAGGGTCGTGCCGTCCTGAGTCCATTACGAGCCAAAGTGCTGGTGGGTTTCTCATGCCATGGAAACACGACTCAGTGTTAAGCAAGTTGGTCTAACAAGGACTCTGGACCACGTGATGTAAAGCTTGAGAAGAGCTAGCTGTCTGCTTTACATTCAACCCGTACAGATGATTATGACAAGGGCTTCTTTTACCCCAGACAAGTGACAGCGCATGACAAGTTATCCCCAGGAGACCAGGGGCAGGAGGAGCAGCGACTAAATTAATTAGGAACCGTAGGGGTCCCATACATCCATCAGTCAGGGTTTAAGTTAGCGGGCCCACGCTATACTCAAAGATAAGTCGCATACTCTGATAAGAGCTACTCCATACTCAGAGACGAGCAGCAACATACTGTGATAAAAGTCACACTATACTCTGAGAAGAGCCACAAAATACTTTGATAAGACTGGCACCACTCCGGAAAAGAGCTGCCCCGTACTTGATATGAGCCACACTGTACACTGATACTGACAGCGTGTGGAATGGGGGTGTGCAGAGCGGAGTGTGCAGGGCGGAGTGTGCAGGGCGGAGTGTGCAGGGCGGAGTGTGCAGGGCGGAGTGTGCAGGGCGGAGTGTGCAGCGAGGACTCACCAGCTCCTGGGTCTCGGAGCGGAAGAAAGAGTTGACCCCAATAATGAAGGGTGTAGGAGTGCTGAGAACTTCTAGAAGCTTCCCGGGCAGGATGGGAATGTATGTGAAGCTGAGAGCGAAAGGGATATGGGGGGTGTTCATAATTTCAGGGGCCACCATCCCTGAAACCTCAAGCCAGCAAAGTCTGCTGCCGGCTCCACATCTTCCAAGGTTACTAGGAATCCAAAGGTCATTACAGCCATCCTCCCTACGCAGAGAAGGTCAGCCCAGGGTTCTGCTCCTGCAGGCTTCTTCTGGACGACACACAAGGGCAGTCTGAGGAGGAGGCCGAGGACACTCACCAGTACTTCAGTGGGAACATGATGGCCAGAAGACCCCGGCAGGCGTCAGTGAGGCGGTGGTAGCTACTTGACAGGAACAGGATCTTGTGTTCCGTGAGAGCGGCACAGAACAGATACAGAACGTTGATAATTCCTGGAAGGGAGGCCATTTTCATCATATTACATGGCGGAACATGACTGGGTGAAAAAGCAACGCAAGCTTCTCTAAAAAGGAAGATGAGGTCTGGGCCCTTTCACGGTCAGGCAGATTTTCACACAAATGTTTAACCATTACTGTGCATGTGAGGAAACTCGCTGAGGCATTTCGAACATGACTGCTGAAGCATGGAGCCTTTGTCAGCCTCCTCTCAGCTGACTGCTAGATGCCCCCGGGGGCCCTCTTACCCAGCTGCCTGAAGAGCAGGGCCACGCTGCAGCCACTGACGGGGAGGGAGGCGCTAATTGGGGTCTGGATCACCTGCCGGTCGCCTGCGCCGAGGGTTATGGTCCTCTGGGGGCGCATGCAGATTGGAACACGTTTGGTCACATGGTCATGCCACAGTGCAAGCAGGAGCCAGTCTACCAGAACATGGGGTCCAGCTTAAAGTTTAACCAACCTATCAGTAAGAGGTTACATAATTAACCTAGTAATTATTACTCAGTCTAATTAACTGTAGACGGAATAATAAAACTGACTAGAATTACTAACAATTGGTCTTTTTTAGTAAGAACCTACTAAGGTAAATAACAGATTCCTGTAATTCTCAGAATTAAACTAGGGAATGACTTATCTCCTGAATAAATGGTGCAGCTTGTGTAGTTAAGACTGTACACATTTACGCCAGTTTATCAAACTCCATGTGACTCTGTTTCACAAAGTTAAAACATCCAGCAGGACGTCACATTACAGTGCATGTGATCAGAGAGCCCAGAGGGGACGAAAGCAGGGATTCACGGAAGCGAATGGGTCACATGCACGCCACCAGGAGCAGACAGGGGAATGAAATCAAGCCTCCATGACTGGGAACAGGAGACAGGAGGGCGTGTAAAATCAGGTTAAGGAACGAGTCCTAATGAGATGCCAGGAAAACAGCGTGAATGGTCAGCTGCCTGAGCGAAAGGGCACTGAGGACGGTACACGACACACTGAGACTGAAGGTAGCTTCTACAGGGTCCAAAAGGCTCCATCAAGCAGACAGCAGCCCCCCCCCCCCCCCCACTAACAGGCCACGTGGGGTTTCTGGCGTGAGATGAAATCAGGTCAGACTGCAGCATGGTCATGCCCTAGGGGTTGCGGGGTGCAGCCACATGAGCTCAGCGTGTTGATTGGAGAAGTGCGTGCTAAGCACCGCCCCGCCCCGCCCCACCCACCCCACCCCTGGGGGTGAAAGAGGAGGCTGAGAGCTAAGGTGTAGAACAAAAAGTCATCCGTACCACATGTTCCTCCTCCGACTGCGGGTCAAGCTAGGTTAGCAGACAGAGAGACACAGCACAGGAGAACAGACGTGTTAGACCAACACCACAACAGGACACCAACACAGAGAGGGTGGGTCTGAAACGGTGAGGGGAGTCGTTAGTGCTGCACGGTTATGGTCTCCAGGAGGCTGAGGATTCTGGGTAATTCTGGGCTACTCCTCGCTGAGTTTAGCCTGGGCATAACGGTGTAATGGAAACTTTACCCTTCACTGAAGCTATAATTAATTTGCACTGCAGCTTTTCTTCTTGATAAAAATACTAGCAAACAAACACACAGAAATAGTGCAAGTAACCAGGCCGCGATCCGACGCGGGGCCCACGCAGCGCCGCACCTCTCTGTAACCAGGCCGCGGTCCGACGCGGGACCCACGCAGCGCCGCACCTCTCTGTAACCAGGCCGCGGTCCGACGCGGGGCCCACGCAGCACCGCACCTCTCTGTGACCGGGCCCCGGTCCGACGCGGGGCCCACGCAGCGCCGCACCTCTCTGTGACCGGGCCCCGGTCCGACGCGGGGCCCACG